TTCTGACAAAAATTCGTGATGTACAATACCGTTGTAATCCATGAAAACCGTGAGCATCGCTTTCTTTTTCGACTGAAAACGACGTGATTTTTTTGGTCTTGGCTCTCCATTCACTTGCCTGATGTCTGGATTGCGTGTCGTACTCATAAACTCACGTCTCGTCTCCAGTAATGATGCGTTTGATGAATGTTGAGTCGGATTCAGTCTTGGAAATCATGTCTTTGGCGATGTCAACGCGGTCTCTTTTTTGCATGAAATTCAGTTCCTTCGGGACCAACTTTGCAGCAACACGGCGCAAACCCAAATCATTAACTACAATGTCCTGAACGGATCCATAAGTAATGTTTAAGTCCTCTGCCAGTTCTCTGAGTTAATTTGCGGTTATTGGCCAACATTTCTCTTACTTTATTGATGTTTTCGTCGGTTTTCGATGTCGATGGCCTGCCACTGCGTTCGTTTTCCTCGACGGATTCACGACCACTTCTGAAGCGTTTATGCCACTCGTAAACGGTTGTTTTCTTTAGAACATCACTGCCGAAACAGTTTCCTAACATTTCCAAGATTTTCGCACCATTGAATCCATTTTTAACGTAAAATTTAATACAAACTCGTTGTTGCAAATTCAACTCCATTTTTAAAACTGTAAAAAATCGAAAACACGCGCAGAGGTAGATGTACTCAAGACGGCGTAATTTTTACAAATGTCAAGCTATGGCGATAAAATTTGATGGAAATGTCAATGATAGATGTGGCAACCTAGCCAAAAAAAAAGAACTCAAATCAGCTGACTCAGAGCATCACCTGGTGGTCTCTTCCTTTTTGATCAAGCTAATAATATATATTATAGAAGAATATATATAGAATGATATATATGTAGAAATATGTACATATTTTAAATGAACACAATTATGCTAGAAGAAGATTTAGAAAGTATATTTATTCAATCATAATTAATTAGTGTTGTGCAAATATATTATTTTTACTCAGGTCTCTGATTTACTGAGGTCTCAATCAGAAAGGATAGTTTTGACAAAGTTCTGCAGCGCCCACCTCATCATTTTTAGATTAATATTTTTAAATTCCAATGCTATTGATAATTTATACACATCAAATATTTAACGAAGAGACATAAAATTCTCTTGATTTTAATTTTGTGCGCATTTTGTTAAAACATTAACTCTTTTTCGACACGATATAGGTAAACCTAATTTTAAAAAAATCTAAAATTTCGATTATTTTCTTGAAAACGTCCATGCTATGCTTCTTTAGATTTGTAACAAATTATTCATATATAAAGAAAGAAAGATTTCACCGTTTTCAGTCTGTTATCAGTTTTCACTGCAATTTGTATACGGAATTACACAGTATCGATTAAATTTAAGTATCATGTAATTAATTATTACTTTAATTTACTATATCAATTGCTTTTTTAAATTAATTATATCCAGAAACGGAATTATTATTTGTACCTCCTGTTTTGGAATTTATTATTAACTAATTCTTATTCTATTCAGTAAATTCTTGAAAATCCAGGGGATAGTCATTGTTCAATAAAATATTAATAATAAATTCTAAATTCTTTTGATAGAATTCTGGATGTGAAAGCAACAACGCTTTGTCGATAAAGTAAAAAATTATTCCTCTTTTCCGTGAAACAGGGAAAAAAGATCTAAAATCTCCCGAAAAAAGTTGGTTTTTGATACCAGTCAAATTTAATGAGAGAATAGTAGCATTAAATTTGTATTATAATTTATTTGTGAAATAGGAGGCAACATTTTAGTGATATCCAAAAAAAATTAATTCTGTTGCCTCCTATTTCACAAGTAAATTATAATCTAGGATTAACATAAAATTTTCAAGTACCAAGTTAATCTTATTAAAAAAAAAAACTGCCATAACAACATCAACATATCTATAATGAAATGGAATATTAAATTAATATATAAAATTAAAAATCAAAAAACTGCTTTTCAAATCTTTCAAAACTATATCAGCGACTATAAGAGAGAGAGGAGAGTCCATTAGAATCCCGAAACTCTATAAAATTATCTATCAAACTTAAAAAACGATTCCAAAACAAGTTTGATCGCTGAAAAATACATCTTTAAGTCCTTGTTTATCAAATGAAATTTTATTTTAAAAGTTAATAAGAAGTTTAATTCATTCGTGTGACATAATTTAATAGCAGGTTTAATATTCTCCTTTTTACGTTAAGGCCTCTGGTCTGTGTTATACCTCTCTCATATGCTTGTAGTACGCACGTATTGAATAATTAACTATGTTGATTATTCAATTGCTATGAGCATGGGAATTTACAGTTTCAATGCCGGTTCCGAACAATGGATTTTTCGAGAGATATTTTTGTGGGCAAGAATATTAAAATACATATATAGATTAGAATTAGAACACGGAAAGAACTTTTTCTTAGAATTTATCCTGAAAGTAGTCCTGGAACAACATTATATTTCAAAAAATTTTAAATTTCTCTCATTTATTAATAAAACTATAATAAAATATAACATAAGTTTGATTAATTTTACTGAAGTGCATGGTAAAAATCTTTAAAATGTTATATTGTACTACAACTATATTTTCAGGATAAATTAAAAAAAAATTTTTTTCATGAATATTTATTATAGAGTAAATATATATTTAAATATATAGATATCTTGTTATATTATACACTAATAATCACACAAAATAAGTACGTTGTGTAACTGTATATTAAAATACACGGATATATGTGCCTTTCAAATCATGTATTTCAATACACGTGTACACGTCGTCCGGTGTTGTCTCGTCTATCATTTTGTCGTCGTCGTCCGTCGCCTCTCTCTCTCTCTCTCTGTCTCTCTCTCTCTCTCTCTCTCTCTCTCTCTCTCTCTCCGCTCGCCCCTTTTTTTTTCACCTTTTATCCGCGCTCTCTCTCTCCCCCCTTCCTGTTTATCTGTTATATAAATTACACCTGCACATCAAGGTTCTTTTGTTGCTAATTTTATTTCAATTTTAAATTAAAATTAAAATTGTATGAAGGTATTGCAAACAGCAGCTTAATGGACAAAGCACTTTATATGTATGTGTCACCATAGACATTATGTCTATGATATCACGTACGACTGAAAAAAATTTGAAATGTAATGGTCCCTTTTCGGAACACGATCTCCAGATCTCGATATTGGCTGTACCAATTTTATTCGGACGCTATTGAAAGATACCGATGACATTATATAATAAAAGTATTTTTAAATTTTTGATTATGGTTTTAGTTTTTAAGTAATTTTAATCTAAAGTTTGTTGATGTCAAAACTTTAGATAAAGCTATATAGTGGTAGCGTCGCGAATTTTTTTTGACAATAGCACGAACATATACACAATGACACATCAAGCGGTCAAGTAATCCGTCAAGCGATCCATTTTATATTTTTATGCACTTAGCGTCGCGACGCTACCGCGTCACTCGATTGTATTATTTTTACACAAAATAATTGTTAAAAGTTACGACAGCTTACAATCGAATAAATAATAATTTTGATTATTATTATATTAACAAACTGAATAACATATGAAAGACGGATACAATTTAATTTCATTAGACGTCATTTTATTGTACGGAGAGAAGGGGGAGAGAGAGGGAGGGAGAGAGAGAGAGAGAGAGAGAGAGAGAGAGAGAGAGGACTTTCTATTCTGTTATTAAGTATGATTCTGTTATTAAGTAGATGAAAATTTATTCTTCTATGTATAAAATTCTGAAAAATCTTTTTGGAGTCAAACTGGTTTTAGAATTGAAATTTTTTAAGTTTGATGACGAATTTTACGGTACTTTTTTTTCCCCAGTCACTATATAGATATTTTAGGATTTTAAAAACAATGTTTCGGATAAATAATGTTGACTTTAGTGTTCCATTTTATTATATATACAAAAAGAGGAATAATTTTTTACTTTGTTGACATAATGTTATTATTTTCACATCCAGAATTCCACTAAAAAAATTTGGAATTTGTTATTAATATTTTTTTAAACAATCTTCTAGATTTTACTTTTAAAAATTTAACAAATAGAACAAAAGGGTTGGTTAATAATAGAATTCCAAAATTGTAGGTACAGATAATAATCCCGTTTCTGGACGTATCAAGAAATTTACTCTTCCATACATACATGATTTTATTTAATAATTTGAAATATTTAATAAATTATATATCGCAACAATATTCTGTAATATAGATCATGAATAAATATAATTTATTTTGTGATTTTCCTTCTTTTCATCATGATAAATAAAACTGTCGCAATCCTCTGATTATAATTCTTAATCATTATCAATGAAATCGCTCACTTCTTCTTCATCGCGGCAAAACACTATTTCTTCTACTGAAAATTACTGATTCTTGTATCGCTAATCTATTAATTCATCACAAAGATTGTCTCTTAAAAATTTGATTCTCTACTTATATCACATTTTTGAGAACACAGCTCAAATAGAAGCTTGCCAATTACAGTTTGACAAATTTGATTTACATCTATAATCTAAGATATTTCACAGTAGCTATCTACAGATTTCATATAGGAGTTAATAGTGAATCTTAAACAAATTTTATGAATCTGACGAAACTTTTCCCAATATTTTCTATGTAAAAGATATAAATCCTACAAAAGAAACTTACCAATGACGTACAATATATAAATGAAATTAATCATTTTTAGAAATCAGACAATAATTATAAACTTAAAAAAATCACGTAGTCACGTATTGTTGAATATAATTGCATTGCGAATTGTAAAACACATCGCTTGGCTTTGGTTACGTTCCTCTACGGAGTATTGTCATTTTATCACGATTCATAATTTTGATTCATCAGCATTGTTTGTAATGTATAATTAAAGAATAAAATTTTATAATAATGTGCTATGTAGATCAAATAATTATATTACAAATTATATAACAAATTAAAATTTGAAATATTTTTAATTTTCTGATAACCATACCGGCACGCAATTATCATTTCTGAAATTAATTCATTTATATGAATGTATATAATAGTTCAACATCTCAACATTCAGACCATAGTGACGCTTCGTATTTAAAGTAATGTTATTTAACATATTAGTCTTGTTTCCAATCTTATTAAAAATATTTTATTGTAAGTTTTACAATACTAGAAAAATTTTAAATAAATTAGAATCTATTAATAAAATTGAGACTCAAGTTTTTCTTTTCACGTATTCTTCTTACGTATGTTACTCACATATACAAGATATCCTATAAATTTTGACCAATCGCTTTTGTGTAGATAGAGCGAACTAAACTGAGACAAAAAGTCCTCTATTATTTTGCAATTTTTGCAATAGTTGACAAGATATTAATTACTAAAAATTGCCAAATATTGATCTTGAATAATTTTTTATTTAAATACTGTTAACTTTACAAAAAGAGCAAGAGACAAAAATCATTTATTTTCTTTTCATAAAGTTCTGAGGAATTTTTTAGAATTTTTTTAGAATTTTTTAATGTCGAATTTTTTCATGTTGGTAAAAATAACAAAATTTAGTATTAAAAAATTAATAAAAAATTCTAAAAAAATTCTTAGAGTTCTATGAGAAGAAAATAAATGATTTTTGTCTCTTGCAATTTTCCAGGGAAAGGTTTCTTCGATTCAAAGAAATATTCTAAAGAAATTTTGTCTTTAACCATATAGTAAAGATATAATATATAAATAAAGATATAATATATAAAGATAAATAAAGATATAATATATTCAAAATAAAAGAAAGAAAAAAAATAATGTCAGAAATCAATAGGATTGAATTTGTACTATTTTATATTATCAAAAATAATTCTATATTATGTATCATTTCCAAGAAAACAGTGTTAATTTAATATTTAAATCGGTAGGATCATAACAAACAATAGAAGGGCAAAAATTAACACAATTGAATTCGTACTAATTTGTACCATTGAAAGTAAATTAATATTTTATATATTTTCTTCTTAAAATGACTTTATTATACATATATACTTACAATCTTTGAGGCATTTTATCGGATACTTTCAAAACATCTTTTACTTTTTTTAATTGCTACGTATTACTGCAGATATCATACTGCTATCATAGATTGTAATTATTGTACTCGTAAATATACTATATAATAAAGTCATTTTAAGAAGAAAACATGTAAAGTATTACTTACTTTCAATGGTACAAGTTAGTATAAATTCAGCTATATTAATTTTGACCCTTGTGTTATTTTTTCTGTCAGTTTAAGTATTAAATTAGCAGCGCCAATGATTTTTGGAAATGATACATAATATAAAATTGTTTCTGGTAGTACAAAAAAATAGTACAAATTCAATCCTATTGATTTCTGATATTATTTTTCTGTTTTTTATTTTGAATTGAATTTTTATTTTGAAATCAGCTTAATATTAAACTAGCATCGCCACGATTTTTTTCGGCACGCGATACAAAATTAATAGTACAATTTAGTATAAAATGAATATACTAAAAATTCCGATAGGTTCGATGTGATTCTACTGATTTGATCCTGTTAGCTTTATAGACCTGATTTAGTCGATAATACGGAAAAAGAAAATAACTATTAACTATGTGAGAGGTTGTTTTTATTGTTTACATGTAAGATTTTTATGTTAATAGGTGTAGACAGGCAGACATAAATCTCACTAGGATTCAGAGACCAATAGGAAACGATCTTAAAGCTAGGTAGATGGCAGTACGAGATTGTGACTCTATATTCTTTTTGGCAACTCTGGACACGCCTTACTAATTATATAGTCCTTGTATTTTTCTCACGAGAGCAATGTATCGTACATCCGCAACATTAAAGAGTTTACTATATTACGTGGTTAAATTATAAGATATTATTTATCGATAGCCTCCTATCCTCACAAACTAAACTAACTAAAAACTACATGTGGTAACTAAATGGTAGATGTAAAATATGGAAAGCTAAAATATAGACGTTACAGTGAAATTGAAAAAAATGCTCTAAAAAAAGGAACATGTATTTAAAAATTATTTTTTATCGCACAAATTTTCAAATTATTAATTAAGTTTTTTACTTATAATAACAAAGTAAAATGAATTTGATAAAATTTGTTTACATTTTTAAAAAATTTAATTAGTCTTACGGGGCATTAAAATTAAACAAATACATATTATTTATTATAGCGACTCTAGAGAGAGAGAGAGAGAAAGAGAGAGAGAGAGAGAGAGAGAGAGAGATACAATCAAAATAGATAGAAAAAAATGATGAGAAACAAAAAAAATAAATTAAATATGTAAATTGTGCACAGTAGAGGAAATATGCAAAAATATGTTTTTATGTGCAAAATCTGCTGTAATATATAGAGCTCAAAATGCATAATTTCTTATGAAACAAATTTGTATTTAGTTTATTTCTTTATATTTTATCTTAATTATAACAAATCAAGATTAATTGCGATAGAGAAAATCTTTTTTTTCTGTGTATGACGACTTTAGGATTCCCTTAAATATAATATCATTAAATTGATAGAGTTAAGTAAAAAAATTTTTGATCAGTCTTTTTAGTATGTGTATATATAAAAAAGGATTTTAAAAAATACTGAATCATGCTTTCCAAACATTGCTATGTATAGAGTCATGAATTATTGCGTGTGAATTATTGCGCGTATCTGCGTGATTTGCATATAACAATTGAAGTAGCAAAGTGATAGACAAAGAATAACGTAACGCCGGAATCGCGAATTGAGAACATGAGAATAGGTGTGCCTTTTATCCAATAAGAATAATGGATTTCGAGAAAGCGAATCATACAACGGTTTTTGCAACCTGTCACTTCCGTCGCTTGCCCCTGCAAGAGCCTTAGTTTTTTAGAACCGACATGACGAGCGGGGGGCTTCGTTGACGATCGTCATTTTACGCGAGGAGGCGCAAAGCTGATAAGTGGGACATACGCTGCAGCATCTCGGTATTTCATAGTGAACTCGCCATCCAGTCGGACCATCCATCCAAGAGAGTCACGTATCCTCGTGTTTCTTGTCGAACTCCGCGTCAAGGTACTCGTGATCTCGCTCACGTACGCCACTCAAGTCGTAAGTCATTGATTCGTCTACTTTTTTCACTTTTAAACTCAGTTGACAATCATACATACCGCATTAAACTATCATTGTAGAATTAAGAAAGATATTAGCAATATGCTGGATATTTATCTGTATACTTAGAGTGAATTATTAGTAATCGACAAAAGGATAGGGTTTTATATTAAAATTGTTTCTTTTAAAATCTGTGCAAGGTGGAATATTAATTCAAATTATCGAATCATCTTATTCTTTATCCAATAATATTTATACATATATGTGCTACATATTTTTGTCAATTTAAGAAAAAGTTAAATACAACTACGATTACATTGCATGATTACAGATACATGTATTTGAATCGCTTTGTATAAATTTGTTACGTTATCTTATTTAAATTAACAATTCCTTATTATTTGCGTGCTGCCTTTGTGTTTCGCTCGTTGCCTTTTAGAAAAATAACAGTTAGTTGTCAGATAACAAAGAAGAAAACCTTTCATTGAAACAGAATAATTCCGCTATAATGTTGAAATACTTGATTATTGTTTATACAGATATATTTTATTGTATGATTATAATTTCGTAAAGATACGGAAAATTTTTTACTCGTTTATATAAAAATTATTGTAAAAAAGAAACAATATATAAAAAGTAATAAAGAGCAGTTTTTAAATTGTACATAGAAAAAACAATTTTGCCGAAATATTTAAAAATATCATTAAAAATAGATTTGAAAATAATTTTGTTATGAACTATTAAAATAATTATATAAAAAACGCTTATATAAAAAACTAGAATATAAAAATGTTTTACAACATTGTTTATTATGCTTGAGTTTTCTACATAATCTAATTATTTTGTTGATCCAACAAAATTATTTTCAATCTATCTAAATTATTAGCAAAATCTTCTTTTCGTGTAGTTTTATCCATGTGTACATACTGTATACTTTTTTTTCAGTAATGTTTTCTCAATTACTTCAATGATTTAAATAAGATACCTGAGCTGAATAAGGTCTACCTAATATATTTTATCTTTTTTTTTAATTCTATTTATAGGGATATTGAAATAAACTAGTGAGAATTAAATCTTTATTTCATTTACTCTCAAAAATAAAATATATTGTTTATATAGGATATATGTAAATGAACGAAAAAAAAATTTATTAAACTTTGACATTGGGCTTTATTACATGCATATAAATATAATAAGGTCCAAATAAAAAATAAATTAAAAATAGCAAAAAAGATAAATATTTTCTTTCTAAATCAGTTTTAAAATGATTATTAATCATAGAAATAAAATTCTTTAGGACTTATTCTACTCTCAAATTATCTTTAATTTTTTGATTGTAATTAACTCTTTAATCTTTGGAAATTTTTAGCGATTTGAATGCAATTTTGGCTTCTTAAAAGATAACAGTATTAAAAATCGTTATTCTCTGGCATAAACTCTACATATAACAAACAAATAATAATAGCTATAATAAAAATCACATGAGTGGACCTTATTTAATAAGTACATTCTTTTAAAAAAAAATATTTATACTTATTTCAAAAAATTGATTTATTAGTTATTTTCCATTAGTTATTTTATTAGTTATTTAATTAAATAATATTATAATAAATTATAATAAATTATGAAATATTATATACTTTTATAAATTTTGCAGCGAATTGTTATAAAAATAGCTCATATTAGTCCTATATGCATAAGTTTTTGTTGTATTAAATAAATGTGTTGCCACGATTCCAATTCTTTATCTACTTCCTTTTTTATCTACTTCCTATGATACATCTTTTAAGTATAAGTGCAGGTGTAAAGCAAATTTTAAAGTAACAAATTTAAAAGTGGGCCTTATTTAGTGCCTGGGCCTTATTCAGCTTAGGTTACTTAGATGTTACTTAAAAATAAAATCTTGCCTAAGTATAGCGATTGCGTCAGAGTGAATTTTTTGCGACTGATTCTTCTTCCCATCTGTTGCTGATACACTTCCCATATGGCATACTTTCTTGAATAGTTGTCTTACCTATTAGAGGTGAAATTGAATAGAATCTCATGATAATTCTTAATAGACGTGATACACACTATATAACGTATAATCATATGAATATTTCCTCTTAAATGTGGGCAGACATCTTTTTCTCGATCACTAATCAATTTACGAACAAAAAATTGAATGTGCAGAATCTGCGGTTTAATAAAGGCGAAAATTATTAATATTAAATAGTTTTTAATTTATGCAACACACATAGTATGAAAATTTCCACACAGCCGGTATGCATCCGTGACATGCAGCAGTAATTTGTTATCCATTTTTTTAGAAGAGACTCGTATTTTGAGACTCTATAAATTTTTATAAGATAATATAATTTACATTTAACATTTTTGCATAGATGTAATAAATTTGTGTAAAGTGCAAAGTTGATTTTCCACACGATCAAACCATCTTATTAATGTACGACACGTATTTCCGTATGATGCATGCAATGATTTAAAGAAACGCAATGCTATAATATACTAGTATTCGAAATCAAAGTATAGTAAAGTGTTCGTGTGCTAGTGGGTGAGAGTAATTTCGCTGTAATACAATTATGTTGCAACACTTGCTCGTGTTTTGTTTGTATGCAATTCGTGAAACTGAAAGTAAAATTATGGAGAAATGGAAATATAGAAACAGAAAGGTAATATTAACAAAATACCGACAACAAAAAAAAAGCTTCCCTCATTGCAGTATAAAAAATAATTATAGTAATCTTTCATGAGCATCAAATTTTATTGTATTATTTTTGCATGTTTATATTATTATTACACTATATTCTTTATTATATTCGCTTCAAAGAATATGATATGTAAAGAGTTATTATTCAATCGTATTATTTTAATCGTTAATCAATTTTCGAAAATGATTCCATTTTTATAATCTACGACATCGAATAAATGATTTATTAATAATAATTTATTTAAGATGAGTTAAATCACGATGATACATTCAAGACACATTAATATACTGATTTCATTCTGCAGTTTCTACGCATGTTACTTTTTGCAATTAATAGTCTCATAATTGTGTATAACGAAGGATACGAAAGCGCATCTTTCTAAGGGAAAATTTGTGCTATTTTTGGAAGATCTTGAAGAATGTATATTTGTTATATTATTTGAATTGCAATGACTATTGAATAAACATATAGATGCGATATCACAAATTAAAGAGTACGCACGTTTCGCCTTGAAGGAAAGTTGTACGTTGTTTGTCAGATACTACGTGTAGCAGCATGCGTTGAATCTCAAGAGAAAACGTTACGTGCTATAGGATTAGTAGGTCAGTGTTACTCTTTAACATCCTCCATTTCTTTTCACTATTATCGATGAGCATCTGGTTCATTTTCAGTCATCAATAATTCGAAGAAATCTACTTCATCTATAATAACAATTAAAAATTATTTCTGCGTTTCAAATTTTTAATTCAATTATCAATAATTCGTATTCAATAATTATTTTTTTTTTGCTTCATCACATTTCCTTCTTTGAAAAACATCAATAATTATTCACTCAATGATTGCGTTCAGCAAAATGTTTATTAACTGCAGGAAATTTTCTTTGCTCAAATAAGACCTCTGAATCTAAAAATATAATCCAATCAGCGCGATTCGCGAAGAAAATTTAAAATCAACAGTTGTAAAAGACATTTTGCTGAATAGCCAATCATATCTTGCAGCATATCACTTTTTGTTTCACAAACAAATAACAAAACATATGCAACTCATTAACTTTTTGCATTTGTCGCGATGGTTATAAAAATCACACATTGCGGTTAGTTTTTTGTACAATTTCCTTATCACATAGCAAATGCAATGAAACCTGTCAATTTTGCTTGGAAACGTGAGACATGATGCTACATGATCCCGTCTAGGAGACGTCATGCTTCACCTCAAGCCTGTTGGAAAAGTTTAGGAATTTCGTTCCGCGATTGGCAATGACCTTAAAGACGCCATTGGCCTGCTTTCCGAAGAACCTGTTCCTGCTCGAGCATTATTTATATTCTTTTTCATTTCTCTATCTTTCTTCCATCATCGACTCCTTTCTCCACCTTGAACGTTCTGTTCGACATGTACCGTTTTGAAGTGCCGTAAGCACTTTTACTGAGATGACACTTCTCCGTGCCGAGCCTACGTTCCGGAAGAGAAACGCACGCGTAAGTGCATCCTCCGACACACTGTGAAGCCTGTTCAATCTAGTAGTTTCGATTGCACTTAACGTTGGATTTTACATATTATTTTTATTATTATTATGTATGTTTTTTGTTATTAGCTTTAAGTTAATTATCTGTTAATGAGTTAATTATACCATATTATAATAATTTAATTTATTTTGTTTATTTATTTATTCAATATACTATTTATTTATTTATTCAATATATTTATTTTATATTTTATTTTATATTTTATATCTAGAAAAATTAATTTAAAAAATGCTAATTTTTCTATTTCAAGGTATACATTTAACTTGTAATGACATTTTTATTAAGAATTGAATAGAATTGTAATTAATTCATTAAAACTGCTTTATTCTTGTTATAGATCGTCATATTATCATGAAACTATGTCGATTATGAGTTAGGAAGATATATGTTTTCGATAGCGCTTTCACGAGGATTATTCACACCCATTCCTTACCACTTGTATGATAGCAATACAGTTGCAGAAAACGAAGAGATAGCTGTACCACTAACTTGTGAATCCGTAATTAACCTTTAGTCACGTAGATCTTTTCTCTTTCAATCACTAAAGTACAAGAAAAATAATGTTTACTATTGGTATGTGCGTTGAAAAACAAAAATGAATTTGTTAATTAACGACAGTTAAGAAACAGGCGCTTGTATTTCAAATTAGCTCCAAATAAGGCTAATTCGAAATACAAGCGAATACAATTGAACGGACAATATAGGAATAATTATAGTTGGTTGTTAAAATACACATAAAGTGTACAACATATTGTTGTACACTTTAAATAGCTTGCACAATATCAAAAATTAATTATTTTTAATTATTTATAATTTCGAAAGCCTATTTGAATTGATCTGATTAATTATAATTTATGATAGCATTTTAAATCTATATTAATACATATTGACTAATAATTATTTATGACAGAATTCTAAACTTACAACTTGATATATTCCAACATGTTTTTTTTATATGAATGTATATACGGATTCTTCAAATATTTTCTTTGTTATATAGTACATAAAATTATAAGTAGAATTTTGTTTTAAATTCTGTTGCGATTTATAAAAAACAAAACGGGCGATTTAATAAGAATTATAGCTGACTCTGATAATGATCTTCATGCAATTATTAAATTTCTTTCAATTTGATTTATATATTTCATTTATATGAAAATTTGGTGTAACATTAACGTTTATACTAATTATATGACTTTCTCTTTAATAGCTTCTTCTCTAAAGTTGGAATGTCCTCTAACTATATTCTAGCTATATTCTAGTGTCGTAAATTGAACAGTTAAGTAAGAATTTATGACATACTCTTAAAGAAGAAGAGCGTAAACTACTTTGAAAATAGCACGTCCACCTGGTTACTCTAGGTAAAGAGTTAATATTAGCGTAAGTCAAGCATTCGTTCAAACTTTGTTGCATTTGTGTTTTGCAAATGTCTACGTTGATTGACAGAACAGTGTTGTACAAACATATTCGTCACAGATAATTGTTTAACATCTTAAACGCAATATTTGAACTTTTACTTCTAATTTCCAATTCCGAAAATTAAAAGTAACATAATACAGATATATGTATTCAAATATTAACAATTTAATTCAATATGATAATATATAGTAAGACCAGGCTCAATAAAATAAATTTAAAATAAATTAAAAAAAAATTTTTATAACGGTATAAATGCCTTTTAGAATGATAACGATATTAATGTCATTTTGTATAAATGCCTTTCAGAATGATTGAAAATTGTCACTTTGATGTCATTCTACTTGGATTAAATATATTCGAGGAATCTTTGCAAAATTATCTTCCCATATTTCACAAGTTTGATATTTACTGAAATGGATCATACCAAACAGATTTGGTACTTGCGTTTATAATTTCATAGTAGTTTAATTTGTAACGTTTAATTGTATTTATTAAAGAGGACTCGAACCAAGGGTCGAAACGTTTAGATTTATATTTCTTATTGAATAAAATATACTTAAAACATACTGTCACTCTGTATCGGTTCATAAAGGCATTTACACCATTATATAAATTTAATATTATCGATAATTATTATATATAATATAAAAAAAAACAGAAAAAGAAAAAAGAAAAAGATGTATATTTATTAAAGTCATTGTTCTCATTCTTTGATAATCTAATATTCGTGAGATTAATATCCCCTTTTCCGTCTTAGTATTAAATAATACTTTTCTTATATAAAGTTCTGGAAAATGTAAATCATTTGCGATGTAAATCATTATTTTAAGATGAATTAAGTGATAATATACCACTATTTCATTTATAATTTAACAAATTATACGACAGTATCATTTAAACTGTTCGTTATTTAAGTTATTCAGTAAATATCAAAATAATTTGATTTATACTTTCAGTATTTTGTACGTCAAAAGATTAACGTTATATAGAAAACGAAATAAGAAATCTATGATTATTTTTTCACGTTTTATTTTTATTTTCTCTTTCGATAAAAGAATGTTTTTTTCATGTTTACAAGCAAAATTAAAGCTATGTATTTTGTAAATCAGAGAAAATAGAAATTAATTTTTTAACCCGCAGATACTGTTTTTCGATAAATGATTCATAATACACTTTCGATTTGAATAACAATATAATTTTGTCAAGAAAGCGAATAATTTACAATAATAAAACACTAAATATATTACGATTATATATCGGATTATTTATACTAACGTTAATATTTATCGACGCGGTATCGATAATTTAATTCCGGATGTAGGATTTATACTATGTGTAACAGTATCGTGAATCAGGTTCCGTTAAATTATCCGTAAACTCTCGACGTTGAGAGAATGCAGAATAAAAGAAAGGAATATTTAGAAGTGGGGCACCTACATAACTCGCGTCGTCTTCACGTCATCAATCTCAAAGATTGTATATGGAGGAGGGATGACTGTTATTTAATTAGCCATAAAGGAGAAATAATATGAATACGCATTCAGTTCTGATTATGAGCATTTATTTTATCAGGTCGATCGAAGTATCGAAATTTGACTTATTTTGTGCTACATTAGAATAATTATTAGCAATTTCAACATGCTTTTATTTTTACTTTTAGACATCTGTACTATTTGCCGAATCTTTCAATTTGTGGTTTATATCTCTAACGAAAATTATTGGCTTTAAATTGGCAATGTAATAACTTTTTAAGAGTTGCAGCACACAAAGTATAATGAAGTATTTGAAATAAGAGATTACAATTTCAATGATTGGTTTTGATGCTTTTGCAAAGATAGGGTTAATAAAATAAAAATCTACTTTTCACTAAACCGCAACAAGATTGCACGCTAATGTAATATCACCAGTGATTACGAGGTTGCTCTGATGCAAGAATTGTACCACTTTGTCGTGAAGGGCTGTTAGTGTGGTTGACATCAGCGTGTTCGTGCGAAGACGGTATTCTGCTTCGTACACAATTCAAAATTATCATTCTCCGCGAGACAAACCGCGGATATTTCGATGTGTTGAAAGCGCGACGTTTAAAGAATTCTTTTTTTTTTTGCACGTGCACTTTCCACGTATACGTCACATATATTAACCACACGTAATGTTCTGGAAAGCTATAACAAGATCGTTGCGTACATAATGCACATCGAGAGTCGTCAAAGAATCGTGAATCTTCTATTAATGATGCTACAATGTGGAGGCCATTTGATTCCTCTCCACGTAGAAGAAACGACAAAAATTACGGAGGTTGTAAGGGCAAAAAACAAATATATTAATATTTAAACAAACTACATGTGAAAGTTATGTTTATAACATTTTTATTGAGCAACACATTTTTATAGATTATTAATTTTATTTGATATTAGTTTTATTATTTATAAATAACAATTTTTTAAATAATAACAAAAATCTAAATGTTTTTATATAAATATTTTGAGTACTAAAAATGACTTATGCAAAGTTTCATTGAGCTTCAATTAGTTTTTTTTTTATAACACAAATAAATATTTTGTTTATTTACTGAACAATTAATGTCTGCATCTCAACGGCACTTTGCATAAATATTTTTAAATTCATAAAGTACTTATATAAAAAAATAGAGATTTTTATCATTATTTTATAATACGTTTTCATATATTTCTATTAAAGTATAAATTTAAAAAATATTACTTTTAATTGAAATAACTTTTCATCCAGATGATCAAATGTCTTTAATTTTTTTATATTACTTTTAAATGCAATTTAGAATAATCTGAAATTTTTTCAAGTAATTCTTAACATATTGCATTTGCAACCTTCTTAAATATTCATAATAAAAAAAGAACCTTTTAAGATTCATTAATATTGATTTCTTCTTTTGTTTTCTTATTGATCAGTATTGATTGCTATTTTATCATCAATTTTGTTAATTAAATATACAAGACTATGTATTTAATTAAAAAATTAATAACTCGTAGATGATTAGCATGTAAAGCATTAATTAATGATAATTAATGCGCAATCTTCTAATACATTGTAAAATGCAAAAATAATATTCAGAGAGTTTATGTGTTAATTATTTATACATACAGGGAATAAAATTTGAACCTCTTAAAATTTAAACTCTTATTTCTTTTTAATATAAAGTATTTATTTGAAATTTTAATCAGTTTTTGGAGAATACTTTTTAAATATTATACTTGTGCTAAATTTACTTGTGGTAAACTACTAAAATCCAAAGCAGATTGACGCAATATACTGATTTTCCTTCTCTCTCTCTTTCTCTTTCTCTCTCTCTCTCTCTCTCTCTCTCTCTCTTTCAACATATGTTGTAAACATTTTAAAATATTATCAAATATATAGCATCTTAAGCTTTTTTAATTTGAAAAATTTAAGAGCAATTAAATATTTGTTATAGATATTCCAACACAACATGGCGCCGAATTTATTCGGCAACTCAGCGACTTTATTCCTCGAAGCTTCTCAGCAAGATGTGTCGCAAAAAAAAGCGGCAGAGAAGGCAGTAACGCAAAAATTATCAATTCAAAAGGCACAAAATTCAAAGCCTAAATATCAATGGAAAATTGTTTGGAGAAACATGATAGCTTTTGCCTATCTTCATCTTGGTGCACTTTACGGATTGTATATTTTAATAACGGCTGCCAAATTTTACACATTCCTTTGGAGTACGTTTTATTTATGTATCTTTTAAAACTTAAGATTTAAGATTGGAGCATTGTTTTATGAATTGCCATTGATTGATTTGTGGGAAGAAATAATATAAAGAGTCTTGTAGATATCTATGAAATAACAATATTAATTGCAAGTATTTTATTTACGAAAGATCTCATAATTTTAATGATTTAATTGTCGGCAAACTTGATTTTATTTATTCTTTCAGGTGTAGTAGTTGCAACTTTCGCAGCTATCGGTGTTACAGGAGGTGCTCACAGACTGTGGGCTCATCGGGCTTACAAAGCGAAATGGCCGATGAGAGTCATTCTTATGCTTTTGCAAACCACGGCTTTTCAAGTAAGTCTCCCGACGATGTTATTCATAAAACAAACGTTATAAATTCATAGTTATTATCTCGTATGTACTCTTCAAATTCTTCGGAGTAAAATCTCATTCTAAAAAATGAAAACTGAGTCAGTCTTGAAAAACAGAATGGCTTAATTTTCAATCTTTAAGAGTGCAGAGATTTAATTTTTTAGAATGACAAATTTACTGTAAAAGTTTTAGAGAGTATAATTTAAAATAATATATATTGCAAATATATATATATATATATAATAAAAACATTCAAGAAATTCCTCTCTAGAGAGAAATTTATTTCACATAAATCTTTTATATTTTTAAAGTGATTCTTTAAAAATATAAAAGATTTATTGTTTATGAGAAATAAATTTCTTTGTAGAGGAATTTCTTGAATGTTTTTGTAATTATCATTTAACGTACGTTTCGCATGCAGAATCACATTTACGAATGGGTAAGAGATCACCGAGTTCATCATAAATTTACGGACACGGACGCGGATCCGCACAACGCCAAGAGGGGCTTTTTCTTCTCGCACATGGGCTGGCTTTTGGTCCGAAAACATCCTGATGTCATTAATAAGGGGGCCACAATCGATATGAGCGATCTTGAGAAGGATCCTGTCGTTGTCTGGCAACGCAGGTACGTAGATAAAGATATCGTTTTTATAAAATCAATTAGTGAGATTTCACAAATGAAATTATTTTATTTTTCTTAAAAAAACCCAGATAACATAAAGTCCAAAAGACATAAGACGTCTTTAAGGTGTCTTTTAGATGCCAAAGACGTCTTATGTCTTAATTTTGTGTTTGTCTGGAAAATAATGAACTTTATTAAATCGTCAAAATCAAAAAAGATCGTGAAAATGAATCTGTTTATATTATTAGGCTTTACATCATCCTAATGCCTGTTTTTTGCTTCCTACTTCCCACCTGGGTACCGTGTCATTTTTGGAACGAGAAACCTATGTATGCCTGGTATTCTACCCTGTTCAGATACACACTCTCACTGAATCTGACTTGGCTAGTAAATTCCGCGGCTCACATATGGGGCATGAAACCATATGACAAGTATGTATTATCAAAGATTTATTTATTTTATTGTGTGTCATAATTACAATTAAATTTAAAAAAGCATTACACAAAAAGCATTACATATACTGTGAAGCACAAGGAGATTAGATGAAGAAATAGCAAACTAAGGCAAAAGTGAAATTATAGTAATATAACGATTGATATAACGAAACATCAGCAGCAGGATTCTCTAAATGTCTTATCGATGATATTGTTATCGTTAACTAGCGACAGCCAATGGCAGCACAATCCTAGAAGAAAGAACAGCTCTTATGGGCTGTCACTAGTTAACGATAGCGACAATTGTCGACAAAACGTTTAGAGAATCCTGCAACTGATTAGGATAAGAATTATTTTAATACTAAAATCCTACAATACGTACATATTAAACATAATAGTATATAGCAAAGCAAAACATGCAACGTAAAGATAGTAAGAAATGTGAAAAATAGCGCAGTGTGTTTTTGACTTGAGCAGTATAAAGTGTAATGGATTAGAAATTTAAATAGCACTAGAAAGAGAGACGGACCAAGATCCGCCTTTGTAATTTATCTTATTGTACGAATAATAAAATGAATGGAAATCGATAAAGAAAAACTTTATCTTTTTCGCAGCACCATTAGCCCCACTGACAGCCTCAGCGTTGGCATTGGCGCTTTCGGCGAAGGATGGCATAATTACCATCACGTGTTTCCGTGGGATTACAAGGCTGCCGAATTGGGCAACTATCGCACAAACTTTACTACCGCTTTCATTGATTTCTTCGCCTGGATCGGCTGGGCGTATGATTTAAAGACTGTAACACACAGTATAATAAAGAAACGCGCGGCTCGAACAGGTGACGGCTCGATATATACGCGAACGGACAATGAGCATCATCATTCGCATGATGGAGCTATATGGGGATGGGGCGATGCCGATATGGCACTCGAAGATATGCAGGAGGCCGAGATCATTAATAAGGGCGATTGAGATCCCAAATTTCAATTCCCCAAAACCTCTATATGTGGCATTACACTCGGTCGGAATTATGCAGAACGTGGACATCCAACAGACATTTATGGTTTGCGATGGTATTGTAAATTCATAATGAATTTGGTGATCATATCTGAAAGTTTAATACATTGTTATACATACATCATTAGGTATCTCTAGTCGTAATCTCGACTTTTTGTAGATGGTAGTACTTATCACTATCAATATCGATATGCATCGATTGATGCATCAACAATAATGGTAATTATTGTTAAATTACAATTTTTTTCTTTTAACAGTTCTTGTGCATGCATCATGCAATCGTGGGAACGACGTCTAGGTCGCGACTGTGATTACGACGTTTTTTTATTTAGCTTTTGAATAAAGATATTTTTTAAAGTTAATATTTATGATAATCATTTCAATTTGTAATTTTAATATCTAGATGTTTATCTCATTAGATATTTAACCTATTTAAAACCTGATTTTAAAATACTTATACAAATTTCATAAAATTACGTTAAAATTAACATAAAAAGAAAATGCCACTGTGTGTACTTCATATATAAATTATTGATAAGGAATATATTACATTCGTTGGGCGTGCACGCTCTACGTTATAAAGCCCCGTTGTGCATTATCAAATAAGGATATAATCATCCAAAGAACAGTGGTCAATCGTTTAATTAATATTTAGGCGTCAATTAATATTTATTGTATAATATTATTCATACATTATTATATCGTTCCTCTCTTCGGTCATTGAAGTATCGCGAGTTCAGCCTTGAAGTATCGTCTTGTAACGAAGAGAACGGAAAATCTTAAGGCGCGACAGCGATTTCTCGGATCGATTAGATTCCATTGATTAGAAACGTTTTGAATCAGAAATCTGATTGCGAAAGGCGCGTGCTCGCATTCAAAATAAATCTATTAGAAAAAAAGTTCGGCTTCGTTAGGAAATAAAAGGAGATCTCGCAAATATGAGATAATCAAGCGACGATCTGAATTAAAATGCTGGTGTGCTGTACAATCAATTATGTATCTACGAATCAAATTCATTCGTGGCCTTCTGAATGACTGTTTATGTATTTAGACTTTATATCGCATTTATATCAAAACTATTTCGATATCTCGAAGTCAATTCCGTAATAATTGTGACACGATATAAAGCGCGAATCATTATCGATTTCTAACGCTGTTATAATATCAAATAATCAAATTAATAAATTTTTTAGATCATCACTATATAACTGAAAATTAATACTTGTCACACTTCATAGAAAACAAAAATTATTAAGATGATAGAAGGTCCGTATATGAAAAAAACGATTTAGTTTTAATGTTTATTGACCATAGATGACAAAACTATATATGCACAAGTAAATAGCATATTTTTCGATTTATCTTGACATAACAACGATTAAGGTTCTCTGTGGCATTGTGTCACTTTCATTGTCGAGTATCACGCCAGTCGCATTTCTCGTTCTAATTATTATTACTACGTGATGACACTAAATCAAGACTAATTTATTATGAGAATAAAAAATATAAGTATAAATCTTTTATAACTTAAAAGACATATTTTAAATAGAGATATCCGAAATCATCTTACAAATGATAAATTTACTAAAAAAAAACAATGACATTAAGGCTAAATTAGATTGAAAATCAAATTAAAATAATAATGAACTACAAGCCAAGTTGGATGTTTATAGCTAAAATTTATATGATTGTAATAAGCAATGAAATATTTTATTATTATTTATTATAATCATCATAAAATTTTAATAAATATCCTGCTTGACTTGTATTATTTTGATTTGAATTATAAATTCACTTCATTTTTTATTTAATTTTTTACAATTATAGAATAAAATTAGTATTTTTAATATATATATATATATATATGTATGTATATATGCATTGATTATAAACATTTTGATATTAATATTCCAAAAGTTATAAAATTGCACACAAAACTATATAAAAATATTACACACGAATGCAATTAGAAATCAGCGATTGGCTGTCAGCTCTGACATAACTCCATAGGTGACCCGATGGTAATCGAACCATTATTACTTACATAATTAACAAGCGGTTCGATGTTGCGCTGCACGGATCCGAATTCCGTTTGTCTTCCGTAAATAATTATTGTATATTAAATTCGAGTTTGATCGCATAGCCTCGAATAGCGATTTCGCAAAACGATTGTTATGAAAGCGCATTATGTATAACGCATAAAGCTAATTACGCAATGCGTGATAATAATTAAAATTTATTTATTTTATTATAGCGAATTGTAATAAATAGCGAACGATTAAATGATGTTTCTGTAACAAGAACCACTATCGCACAATAATCGCGAACGAACGAATTTTTTTAACAATCGAGCAATCACATACATTTTTTAATTTATATTGTGAATCTTTATAAAAATCTTTATAATCTGTATAAAATGTGCGTTTCACAATAATGTAAATATAATGTAAGTAGGATATATGCAGGTAGCTGATTGAATGAATAAGTAACATTATCTACACCAATTACGTCTATTATTTAACATCCTGCATACAAATAGATAATTAAGTAAATTAACTCTACGAAAATATAGATCATTACAGGTAAAACACAAAAGAATTTAAAATTACTTCAAACAACACGTATGTTCAAAATTGGGATAAATAAGATATTTTAAAGATAGGGTAAATTCGGTTGGACACACATATTCAAATCATTATACACAAATTTAATTTGAGTGTAAAAGAAATACGAATATTTCAAATGATAAAATATATATTTTACCTAACAACATACTAAAGTATATTTCACGATTTAACTGATTTCTACATTGAAAGAAAACTAAAAATAATTACTTATTTAAATAATTTTAAATAAGTAAATATTTATTAAATATAAAAGCATATTTATTTGATATAAAAACCATTAATTTGATGTAACTTCTTTTTAACTTTTTTTTATTGAATAAATATTTATAAATAAGTAAATGTTTATTTAGTATACTATATTCAAAGAAATATATATTAAGACTTAGTAATTTTGTTTTCTCAATCAAATTCGTTATTAAATATATGATATCTAAAGAAATATTAATAATATCTTTAACTGATATGAGTTTAAACTCTAGACAAATAACTTAAGCATTAAAGTCCATTAAAAATTTTTTATTAGTATATTACTAAATTGTTGAAATAAATTCACTCGTTTTTTCGATTATTCTGAAGTGTGTTCCACTAGATATTTTGTTATTTCAATATTAAAAAAATATTGAAAGGCTCACATGACTTTGTGACTGTAATAATGATTTAGGTTTTGGCAAAAATATTTTTAAATTTATTCTGTCTTACACTGATATTTTTATATAATTGTTTTTGCTCTTTGCTTTATTGTACTTTTTACAAGACTTTTTTGCGAATTTATATTACCATAAGCATAAGTATTTGCCATCAGTACAACTGTACTAATTTGTGCACATGTATATTTATTCGTACAAATCTATTTATATTTCTACTGTGATGGTTTAGAGTCTTTTATTGCGACCGAAACGATCTTTTGATAAATTCGTAGATTATAATTAATTCAAGCGCGAGATATCTGCGAGAGGCCACGATTTTTTTTGTACTTTAAACATAAATCTCAAAAATAACAAAATCAGTCGAATCACAAATCGCTTTTTTTTTAAGCACAGAAAGCCATAAGCTTTAAGACAGTAGTTTGTAGGGGAAATAATATGGTTAATATAATATGAAACTTAAGATGTCAAAATGAATGACGCTTCATCGTAGTCATAGTGGAATCAGATTTCATCATGGTCGTAGTTACGTTCTAGTTCCACACGAACGTAGGTTTTGTTAAGACAATATCGATATAAATATATATATGTATATATCAACGCTGTATTTATATAAAAATAAATTATTGTTATCGATGCAGACTCCATATCGATGCTGTTTTCATGTTGTACTTGTCATTATTTTATAATACATCATGGATTAATGTAAGAATGGTAATATTTCATAGATGTAAATGTGACATAACAATCTTAGACTCATTAATTAGGTTTGCTTACGTGCGATTTACTTACCTATTATTTGAGAGTCAATGTCCCATCCTGCGTTTCACTTTACAGGGAGCGCAACACAAACACGAGGTACTGAGTGACGAAATTGCAATTTATCCCTCGTCGTAGATCGCACAGATTGTGTATCCTCCGTAAAGTGCTAATAATTGCTTTGCTTAATCACGCATATTCCTAGAACAGGCGCACCTTTACGACATAAGTTTACGTAACTTTGTATTATGAAATTTATGTTGTTTTAGATTTTCGCCCTGTCTATATTATACATACCTGGCATCGTTTAATCGTGCGTTACGTGTTTGCAAATCGCGATAAAGATATATTTCCTTGTGTGCATAAGCTTCGGTCAGACATTTGACAGTTTACTGAGAGTCGGACGTGACTGTTTTACGATCCCTGCAATAAGATTTGCCGGATGTACATACGTAACAGGTCATCCATATTTCACAATCTTACAAGGATGTATCGCAAGAATTTATAAAGTAATATTATAGAATCAATTTTGAATCTTGTAACAAAAAAGTAAAGTATATTGACTTTATGAGCACTCATTGTAACCTTACGTTATAATTATTTTACAATTATGACATTTGAAACCATGATTATGTATAGCTATATACACGAAATGCATCTGTAATGTGATAACTTTAACCAATATTACGACTTAATTAACAATTCTATGTTAAATACGTGATAATTTTTATTATAATACTTTTTATATTTTTACTCACACATAATATTGAAGTATGTATCTATAAAAATTTTATTCCCATAGCCGTAATATTTAATATTATTAACATTATCCGAAGCATGAAAAATCATATAATATATCAAATTTTTTTTTTCTCAAAACCTTTTGAAAGATATAATTTCTTTCTCTATAAGTTTTATTTAAAAAAATAAAATCAGATAATATCTTCGTATTTTTTAAAATTTGTTTACTCTTAAATATAATAATTGGATTCAATCTTAATATTCGAATAAGTTTTGTGACAAAAATTAATTTTTTTTTGTTTATTAATAGTTTAAAACATTTTAAAAACATTATGACTTCGAAATTTATATAAATAGAAATCAAAAGTAGAAACCAACAAAGCGAATGAAAGCACAGCACAAGTATCAGCAAAGTAAAAAATTTTAACTCCTTTATTCCAAATTTAAACTTATGATGTCATCTAAATAATTTATACGTGTTGATTCACTTTCTTCAGTCCTCCTTAACAGTGAAATACAAAATTAGTGTGTATATATTCTCTTCATGTCAAAATTAAATCAACAAATTGTTTTGTATGCATTTTTGAAATAATAACTTCAAATGTGAATTAATAGTACTGAAAGTAAACTCAGCAGAGTAATCATTTTTTAATAAAGTGCTTCCTTGTAGAAAAATACTATTACGCAATAGTATTTTGAGAAATTACTGCATTATGCAGATATTACACTACAGTAATGTAGTGGCCCAGTAGTGCGCAATAGTGCAGTAATTTGCAGTAGTGCAATAGTGCATTAGTGCAGTAGTGCAATAATGTTGTAGTGCCTCAAAATACTATTGCGCATTAATAGTATTTAGTAGTACGTTTCTAGGACTAAGGACTAAAGTAAATTTTATCTTTACTCCTTGGGCCAGTCTCACCAACTCCGATTAACTTAATCAATCGATTGCTACATTGGAACTGACCAATTGTATTTGCTGTTCAGCAGAATTGATCAATCATAGTTGATACTTAATCGACCGATTAGGTCAATTCTTCACAAAAAAGAGGTAATTTCATGTAAAGATGTGTTGTATGTTGATTAAACTGGAAGAAAATTGAAATTTTCTAGAATTTCAAAACACTGAAGTAAATTGGATCACTAATTACTCTATAATTATAGAACATAGAATTAATTATAAATATGATTTTGATTAGAAAAATGTCGAAGTACTTGATGTCAAGCGTTTTTTAAACAAAAGATTAATTCTGAATTTCTTCATATTCATATGTAAAAAATGATCTTAATTTACGTTCTGACATTAAAGACTTATATCATACTTATCTACTTTTAATGGATATAAAATAGGTTTTATCGCTTAATTATGTTTCTACATCTTGACCATTTGACTTAACTGTTTTTAAGTGTTTTGTTTATGTTGACATATTCCTCTTTCAAATATTTATTTTGTTGATCAGTAGGATGCATCCGAAATTTTATCAGTTATGTACATGATGCTTTTCTATAAGCATGTTTTCTGGTTACATTATGTTTGCGATAATGTTTAATTTCGACATTTATCAATTATGATCCAAAGCTTTGAGAAAGTTCCTGTTTGTCAAGGTAAGTCACTTTCTTATTTTAAATTATTTTAAATTATTTTAATATTTTTAATTATTGATTATTGACTATTTAGTATATTGTTGACAAATTTCTAAAACAAATCTGACAATTTGTTGACTCAATTTTAACATATAAAGTATGTATACACACTAATTTTGTATTTTAATGCTGAGAAGGACTCGAAAATAAGTCGAAACGTACAAGTTGTTTGAATAACATCATCAATTTTGAAATAAAAGAATAAAAATTTTTTACTTTATTACTTTGTGCACTGATAACTACGTTATTCTCCTTTTGATTTTAACATCTAGAGTCTGTAACAAGATTACTTTTGAAATAGTATAAATTAGGAACTTTAATAATGATAATTATAAATTTTGACATTAAAAATTTAAATAAACATATATAATATATTAAATATTACTATGTAGAACTATAAACAAATTGTAAAAAGAACATTCCAATTTCACATGAAATTAACCATAATTTAATTTAATTTCATAACGTGACAATATAAATGAATCATGTGCTCCTAATCGCACTTTCGGAAATACGATGTAGGAGCGCTTCATTTATTAACTTCGCTATGTGGCCGGTGACCGTTAATTGTATCAATTTCAGCAGATAAATGAACGCGTGCGTACATGATGATTAATTCAAGCCAATTTTACTCGTGAATTTAAATGCAAGTCGTCGACATTGTGTTACATCCAATTAGGAACAAATTTTATTAAAAAATTCTTTTGCATATCGCCGCCAATTTAAACAAGCAATTTCTTCCGAATAATAGAGCGAGGAGGAGAAGTGAAACTAAATAATAAGTTTTCAATTAAAAAATGCTATCATACGATTTTTAATTTAGTCTTTGTGTTTTAATACTTATTATCGTGTACATATTTCTTGTATTTTTCTTTGCATAATATTCCTTGTATTTCAGTTATGCAGTGGAAGAGTCGAGAAAAACAAATACATAAAAATTGTGTAAATGTGTGAAAAAATGATTATATCTATAATTTTCAGAAAAAAATGGGAGAATATATATTGAAAGAAAAGATTTACTGAACATGGCATAACATTTTACCATCTAAATTGCTGCAACAATCAATCTTTTCTTTCCGTGTAGAATTTTAAGTATTTTCCTGCATTTTTGTTTTTAAACAAGAATATATGATAATAAAATCGTCAGGTTTAGAATGTTCAAGAAAATCTGTAATAGATCCTCCGTATTATTATAATCGAATTATTGTAAAGAGTGAATGACTATTTTCTAAAAAACATTATTAATTCATAAAATTGTGTTTCTTTTTTGTGATTTATTTCTAAGAAAGGAAAATTACATCAATTAGTGATAGTTTTGATGATAATTTTTGAAAACAAATAAATAAGAAGATTTATAATCATTATAAATCTTTTATGATTATTTTTTATAAAAATACAAATAATTGTAGAATGACTTCTTGAATAATACTTATAAAATACGCTAATTAGAAGAAAGATTAAATCGTTACATCTATGCAAATGCGCATGAACACAATATATATTAATGAATATGTACAATATATTTTTTATCGTCTCCCCAAAAGAATGTTTCTTATCCCATAATGTTATCATCAGTCTAATAAAAAATTCTGCGGTATTATCGCATTAAATTATGATTAGACCGATCTTGTTAAAAATAATCCCGACGAATAAAAGAGTTGATATAGGTGTTAAAAGTAGTCGAGTGTTGTTAATCAAATAGATTGGGAAATTTTTGTAGAATGGAAATTTTTCATACTGAGATAAGAACTATTATAAAAACATGGCAATTATATATTCTCACAATTAGGTTTTGTACTGTGACTGAGTTGAACAACTTGTTGATATGCACAGATAAAGTAATGTTCGTGGCAATGAAGTAATCCGAAGACAAAAAGTCACATGTCCTAGAAAGCGTAAACGAGATAGTGTACCAAGGTAGGCTTTATTCGCTATTTTATAGTGGACTACAGTGTGGCGCAGAGCATTTTCTAACTTTAATAATTAATTTCGAAGAAGTCACACCGAAAGAGTTTGTGTCGTCATGCATTTATTGTTATTTAACTGATATAGATGCTGTTTATATCATGTAAAATTGAAGTAACCTTTGATCAATCATACATATTTAACAATTATGCGTGAATAGAATATTCAATCAAAAAATATTCAATCAGCTAATTATATTTATAATCATTTTTACAATTATAGAGCGAACTTATTCTGAATGTGATTTTATTTAAAATTGAAGAAGTAACAAAATATACGGAGTAGTCCCAACCCGTAATAAATAATCGCTAAAAATATTTTATCTCGAAGCTGTAATTAAAAAAAAGAAATTACACATATTGTCGTTTATTTTTGAGATTTATATTTTAAAAATCTAAAAGCTCTACATTTATTTTTTATATTTCGAATAGTTAGAGTATCGTTGATTTTATAATTTATCGATTTTTCCCCTTACAGGTTTAATAATCTTCTTTACGCTTTGTCTAAAGTAATTGAGAACTTACAGAGGGTAGTAAATTAAATTACGCGGTTTCCTTCGTTGTATGCACCCCAATAATGGACATCGAAAACCGACCGAAAGGCGGCGCACCTCGCCTCGATGCAGCATTAACAACGAAATCGAAGTCACTTTGTCGTAGCAAATCCTGCAGCGCCTGCTTTATCCTGAGTTTAATTTGCACCTATCTGGCAACATTAATCGTTCTACTAGACCAAACTGTCGTCGAGGCAGTAAGCTATGGTCAACATGGTAAGAACATAAAAATTCAATTGTTGTCAGTCTCAAAGTGGAGTACTTTCTCAAAATTTGCTCCTATATTAATAATGTCATACTTACTGATTATAACGTTGTAGATCCACAAGTTTTTGAAAAAAAAGAGATTAATCCACAAGAAAAATTACAAAATATAAATCGAGATGCATTTAGCGCGTTTAATGAAAATTTAATATTCAACATGTTTGCATTTCGTCAACGCAGCCGGCAACGTGACAAGCTTCGTGGGTATCTCATATGAGTTTCATGATGTCTTGGCGGTAGATTTAAAAATTGTTTGTATGTTCCAGCAGTTCTCTTCAGTATGGCATAGTGGAATAGCATCTTTTTATATTTTAGGACTAATTGCAGCCTTTTTTTTTAGAAAATAAATAAAAGTTACTTCACTATCGACGAAACATTTTTTATAATTTTTTAAAATAATAACAATTCTTGTCCAAATAATTTGCCTGCAATCGATATAATCAAAAAAATTGAACAAATTATGTCTATTTTCTCACCTAAGAATATTATTTTTAAGTTTTGTTGGTAATTAGCTAATTAGTTAATATTGCGTATAAACAATATTTAAAAAAATTTATTAAGAAATTTATTTATATTTTAACAAAATATGATTAGATATCATTAGAAACAATTAGATCTAATCTATTACTGAACAGTTCTTCTGTTGAAGAGAACAAGTGAGCTTTATTGTTATCACTTATTATTTAACAAAATTATTTTCAACGAAAGTTATTTTTAAAACTTGAAGTATAGTATGGATTAAACACGCAAACATATTCGAATTGTACATATTTAAATTGACTCAAAGAGAACGTTCAGTCGAAATCATATTCCGATTTCGTGATCAACTAATCGGGGAAAAACTCGTGTACGAAAAATGAACCACATTTTATAGCGATCTAGTTTATAATAATTAATTTAATAACTTAAATTAAATAAATATTTTATATTTGAAATTTAATACAAATGTTATTTCACTGACCATCCATAAGAGTTCAGTAAAATAACTGTTATGATTTATTTAAAATGAAAAATATAAAATGAAGTTTAGAAACTTATTTAAAATATAAATTTGTAAGAAGCAATAAAAATTGATATGACTTATTAAAATTTATTTAAAACAAAAAAATATGAAATAGGTTCAGAAAACTTAAAATATTTGATAAGAAATAGATCAGAAAAAGTTATTTAAAATAATAAATACTAAATAACTCTTTTACTTTGATTATTTTAAAATATATATTTTAAAAAATTTATTTTAAACCGAGCTTTGATAATGATTCATCACTTTCTAAAAATATTTTATATTCAACTCCCTTTTTGATTTATTCAACAGGTAACAAAATTTTACTTTCAATTTATTGTGGAATATCCAGCCTTTTATTTTTTTATTGATTTTATCAGCATATATATAAAATCAATATAATATTAAATCAATATAATATTAATCAAATAAAAACTATACCTTCTACATGATGCGTTATTCATCCAAGCAATTTGTAACGATTATTTATAGATAATTATTAATTAGAAATAATAATTCTTTTTTGCAGATTCGAATAGATCAGAGGCATATACAATATTGTTTGATTCCGATAAAAGCTTCAGATTGCCAGAAGAAGTCGTACCTATTCATTATGACCTCTACTTGCATCCAAAACTTAAAGAAGGCACATTTTCCGGAAAGGTGACCATTCTCATTGATGTCAAACAGAACTACAACAGGAGATTCATAGCTCTCCATCAAAAGAATCTCAATGTAAAATCTGCAAAGTTAACGTACGATTTAGATGAAAACTATGAAATTAACATCTCTTACATCAATAAGCCTTCCAAATATGAAATTTTTACGATATTAACTGAAAATGAGATTAAATCAGGATTATATCACTTGAGTCTAGAATTTGATGGAAGTCTAAAGGACAAAATGGACGGATTTTATTCCAGCACATATCAGTATACGAGTGATAACATTAATGAAACCAGGTGATATAAATTTATTATTTTATAAATAAATAATGCACAAATTTTGTGATAAATTGAATTTACATTCGTTTTTAATTCCGTGATGTGACAAAATAAATTATAATATATCTTTTTTAATCAATAGGTACATTGGGACTACTCAGTTCGAGCCAACATATGCTAGACAAGCTTTTCCGTGTTTCGATGAACCCCATTTGAAGGCAGAATTTTCGATAAAACTGGTTTATCCCATGGATAATGGCTATCATGCTTTGTCTAATATGAATGTAAAGGTATGTGAATAATTTTTGGCGACATTAATTGTCATTTCTTCTGAAAACCTATTAAACAATTGAACAGTTTATTGAATCGAATCATTTTTTGTTTTAGAGTACGGAGATACATACACCGAAACGTAATCTAGCAACAGTGACCTTTGCAAAAACTGTACGTATGTCCACGTATCTAGTTGCTTTTGTTATTAGTGACTTTGTTGGCACAAGTAAAATGGCAAAGGGCTTAAATGGGCGAGAATTTCCGGTTAGTGTTTATACCACAAGACTTCAATCAAAGGAGAAAAGAGATTTTGCAGTGGATATTGGCGTAAAAGCTATCGAATATTTCATAAACTTATTCAAAATAGATTATCAATTACCAAAACTCGGTAAATATGCAACAATAGATTACAAAAAAGATTTATTAATTAAAATACAAATAAATTTATTATATATACGCTTAAAAATTAATTATCGGTAGATTAAGTACATTTTTAAGTATACGTATGTACATATAAAACTTTATCTATTATACAGATATGGTTGGGATTCCTGATTTTAAAGCCGGCGCTATGGAAAATTGGGGCATAGTGACTTACAGAGAAGCAAGGTTGATTTATGATGACCATAGTAACTCCATTTATGATAAGCGCGCAGTAATTAACGTAATTTGTCACGAACTAGCACATATGTGGTTCGGAAATCTAGGTAAATATATTGTATCTCAATTAAATGTGATTAATGAAAACGTAAAATATATTCTGTTTTTTTCAGTTACTATAAACTGGTGGAACGATTTATGGCTCAACGAAGGTTTCGCTACATTTATGAGTTTTAAATGTTCAGACGCGATTGTACCAAACCAACAATATGTTAGTTATCTCTCAATAATAATATGATCATACATTGATATAAAAATTTAATATGATAAAAAATATATCAATAATATATAATTTTCAGATGGAGGAATTTCCTATATCAATAATGCAGAATGTGTTCGTTTCCGACTCAAAATTAAGCTCTCATCCTATCGTTTATAATGTCCAAAATGCAGCTGATATTGCAGCATTCTTTGATGACGTATCTTATCAAAAGGTATACAAATCTAATATCTTAATAATAGTTTTTATCCTATTTACTAATTTTTTTATCTCATTTATTTATTCAAATTACTATCTATTTTAGGGATCATCTATAATCCGCATGATGGAAAATTTTTTTGGATCTGATGTCTTCTTCGGTGCAATTAATAGCTATTTGAATAAGTACTCTTATGAGAATGCAGAGACGGCAGATCTCTTCGAAGTTTTGCAAAATGCGGTTGGAAACAAATTAAATGTAACAGCTGTAATGGACACTTGGACACGACAAGAAGGCTTCCCCGTTATTAACGTGAAAAAGTCTGAAAACAAATTTGTATTAACCCAGAAACGATTTTTGGACGATCAAGATGCCAAATTCGATCCTTCAGAATCCAATTACAGGTGTTACTTTATCTCCAGTTACTTTATCTACTAATTGACAAATTTATATTTCAAATTGTGTTATATCTTACAGATATCGATGGACCATACCCATCACTTATATCACTAACAGAAACAAGAAACCCACTCTTGTATGGTTCAACAGGAATGCAAATAAATGTTCGATTTCGTATTATAATCTTTTTGTTATACAAATTGTTTCCACGTTATTTTACTCTTTGTTATTGTAAAATTTTATGTTTTACAGTGGTAATTAAGGTCGACAGACGTACCAAATGGATCAAATTAAACGCAGGCCAAGTTGGTTTTTATCAAGTTAATTACAAAAAGGAATGGAAAACTTTCAAGGAGTTGCTTCGTTCTTGCCACACGGTAAAATCATATAATTTTTCCAATTAATACAAAAATTATAAACAAAAAATTATTACTTCATAGATTAATACGTTATATTCTCACTTTCTAATTAATAATTTCTTCGAAAATTTATTTACACCTACTCTTCTTTTTTATTGCAGAAAATATCCTCATTGGATCGAGCAAATCTTTTGGGCGACATGTTTAGTTTAGCTGATGCCGGTGAGATTGAATATAACACTGTGATGGATATAAATGTATATCTCATCAAGGAAAGTCACGCTTTTCCATGGAAGGTTGCGAAATCGAAATTGATGACGATGCATGCTCTATTAACTTCTTCATCTAAACCACATATTGCGGACAAGTTTCAGGCAATATATTAATCACATTATTACAAATTACTTTTCAATTATAAATATTAAAAATAAATTTTATAAATATTATTTTTTCATGTACATGATGCATTTTTAGTCTTTCGTGTTGATGTTGGTAGACACCGTCTACAAGAATGTAGCTTGGATCGATAAGACTACTGAGGATGTTCCGTTAACATATATGAACAGAATACTGCGACCTACGGTAATCGAATTGGCCTGTGCAATGGATTCACCTGAATGCCTAAAAACAGTCGGAGAGCTTTTTAAGGAATGGCTGATAGAAGAGAAGCCGCAGCATCCTGATATTCGCGAATTAGTTTATTACTATGGTTGATCTATTTAATCATCATCCATTCCCAAAATCCAATTATTAAGAAATTCTAATAGAATGCAAAATCTTTTATTTAGGTATGCGTTATCGTTCAGATGAAAACGAGTGGAATATCATGTTTGAGAAATTTAAAGACGAGACCGATCCTAGCGAAAAGAATAAAATAATGATAGGATTATCAGGCATAAAATCCACTAAAGTTCTAAAGGAGTTAGTATTAAATCCACAAAAATTAACAATTTTTTAAACATATTTCTTAATCAAAATTAATTAATAAATAAATAATAAATATAATATAAGAATAAATTAATAATTTCTATTCTTTTTTAGGTACATTACCAGAGCAACTAATGAGACATATGTCCGCACTCAAGATTTCTTGAGGTGCTTAACTATGATTTCCATGAATCCCGATGGTACATCATTGGTATGGAACTGGGTACGCGAGAACTGGGAATTTTTGGTGAATAGATACACTCTGAACGATCCATATCTTGGTCGACTTATACCATCCATTACACGTTCCTTCGCTACACAAAGTAGACTAGATGAGATAAAAGCCTTCTTCAAGAAATATCCTAAAGCTGGTGCCGGTGTTGCTAGTCGAGCAAAAACTCGCGAGATAATCTTAAAAAATATCAAATGGCTCGATAAAAATACTAAAAAATTTGATAAGTGGTTTTTAAAAAACTGGCCGCTTAATAAGTCCTATTAAATGTACCAACATAATATATCGATATACAAGACAGCTAAAAAAGACGAAAGACTTAACATACATAATCGATTTTTAATAATTATACTCAAAAACAAAGTTTTCTTAAATCTTGGTATGCCTCAATTGTTGAAAGTATTACCAGTAGCCTGAAGATAATTAATTGTAATTTTGTTTGTTATCACGAACAGTTGTTACGAAAAGGAACATCATTCTTGTAAAACATGATGCTTAATGAAATTATTCAATATATCAAAATTACACTACGATCAAATATTTTGGTTTAGTCACACAATTATCGCAATGATTGGCAGGTATGCTAAAGGCAGTTTTAATTATATATACCACATTTAGTTAACACTATTATCCTCAAATGTGGATTTTTTTGTCTCATAAGATATATGAAAATTATCATCAAATCATGAATATTGAATCTATTATAAGATCAATTGCATTTTTCAAATAGCCATCAATAAGATATTGTAGAGAAGGATGATGTATTTTTTTAATATATTTATTTTTAAAGAATTAAATGTCAATCTGAATAAGTTTTGTGATAAAAATTAGTTGTTTATTGCTTATTAATTTCAAAATTAAAATATTTTGAAAATATTACGATTTTTAAACTTAAAATAAACTAAACTTCGGTAATAATAAGTATGACATTACAAATTTAAAATAAATAAAGATAATACAAGTATATAAGAACCAACCGCAGAACTTGATGCAAATCAATTAAATTATATTTTTAATGTAGATCATAAAAATTCAAAAATAATGTCCAACTTCAAGAGTATTATATATTGTTGCTTCACATGGTTCTACAAATTTATACAAACATATTTTATAATATTAAGGAATATTATAGGACTGCAAAAATTTAAAAAAATATTTTAATTGTACATGAAATCGTTCACATATATAAATTAATCTTATGCGACAGTATGAATGAATCAAGCGTTCTTAATTGTACTTTTGAAAATACGATATGAATACGCTCTACTTATTAGCTTTGCCTCGTGACAAAAGGGTGGGAGTCGTTAATTATATCAATTTCGACGGATGTTAATGAACGCGTGTGTACGCGACGGTTAATTCATGTCAATTTTGCTAGCGAATTTGAATGCAAGTCGGCTGTCACCGACATTGTGTAATATCCAATTAAGAACGATTTTCGTTAGAGAATCGGCTCTTGCATACCGTCACCAACGGCACTTAAACGCGCAGTTTCTCTCGGATGATCGAGCGAGAAGGAGATCGAGAAGTGAAATTGAATGATAGATCTTCAATTAAGATACAGTTCCACAAGACGTTTAATTTATGAGTTTCCTCCGCGTTATGTTTAAGTACTTCTTATTGTATTTCTTGTACTTCGTGTAGTGTTTTTTGTTTTAATTTACTGTGTAAGTTCTTTTGGGAAACAAATATATACAAAGTATGTGTGAATTTGTGCAATGAAACAATTACATTTTATAATTTTCAAATAATAAATAATAATTAATAATGAAAGAATAGAATACTAAATATTTTCCTCTGCTTTTCTTTTTAAATAAGAATAAGTGGAAATGAAATCGTTAAAGTTGGAAGAACTCCCAAAGATATTTGTAATAAATCGCATCGCATTATTGCAATGAACAAGTGAATATTTTCTGAAAAATATTATTAATTGATAAAATTGTATTTTTTCTTGCAATTTGTTTCTTTGTAATTTATTTGTACAAAAATTGCTTTAATTACAGTGAGAAATTGTAATACCAATTTTCGAAATGAATGAATAAGAAATTTACAATCATTTTGAACATTAAAAAAATATATTTATTCTCAATTATCATCACACTCTATAAATGTATTAAAAATTAAGCTAAATGCCTTATAATATGTGAACACATCTTATAATTTTGATTTCCAAATAAATATTATTTTATTATAAATATAACATATATAATCAAATTTATCATTACAGTATGCTTATATTATGTTTAGTATAAGTAAAATAATTTAATAATTTTAGAAATGCATAAGATTCTTGTATTTAAAATAGCAATGCAAAAAATTACTAAAAATTAATAGAAAAATAATTGAAAAGTAATTCGTTAACTTTTTAAATAACTACAATTGTAACATATTACTTTTCAGAATTCTGTTAAAATTTCTACGATATCATTGTGATCATCTTGACTTCGTTGAAAGTGACATGAAATTGTGGAACAAGAAAAGAGAGAGTTGCTAGATATGCTAAAAGCAATAGGATTGTCAATCGGATAGATTGGAAAATTTAATGTAGCATGGAAATTTTCCAGACGCACAGAGATAAGAACATTTACTATAAAAACTCTACGAAAGATCGCATATTCTCATTTGTGTTTCGTATAGTAATCAGCTTGTTATTCGATATGCGGGTAACGTGCCGATGAATTAATCCGAGGACAAAAGTCACGTGTCCTAGAAAGTACGAATAAGCAAGGTAAGTTTTATATTTCGTTTTATTTATACTGTGCATGAAATAGTATCTTTAGACACTATCTTTTATTACTATAACTTCGGAATATGATTTGTCTTGAACTAGAAAAGTGCGATATCATCTAATCCCTTCGGTCGAATAAAAATTTCACTTATAAATACACAAATTTGAAACACAGTAAGAGAAACACAATAAGTACTTTAATAATAATTATATATTTTGTAATAAAATTGTACACTTATTATTCGCATAAGAAAGTAATTCAAATTTTCTAATAATTAATTCGTAACAATATTATGAAAAAATGACGCAACGAATCTTACATTTCATAATCGAAGTTTGCATACGCGACAGAACACGTGTGCATTCTATAGATAGTGCACCACGCATTAATTTATCTTACATATCGAGTGCAGTGGACTGTGGCGCGTGCATCTTCTAACTGCAATAATTTATTTCTAACAAGTCATCAAGAGAGTTTATATCGTCATTTATTGCCCACATTAAGCTTATATGGATGCTGTCTGCGTCACATAAAATTGGAGCACAAAGATCCATTTTGATCAATTACACTGTTCGACAAAAAGTCATTTTTTTTCTTTTTGAAATTCCATAGTACATTCCCCAAAGATTTTTTCGTGATGTTAGCAGAATTTTTTGTAGCTCATCAGAATGTTGAGTAAATTGAGGTAAAATATTTGTGATCATTTTCAACATTTTTATAATGTCATAACAAAATCTTGTTTTTAAATAAAATTTACAGCATATAAAATAGTTCAAGAACTTTCAAATAAATTTTAGTTTATGATTGCACGACTTATTTTCATCAAGTTAAATTATTTGAATTTTGAATTTCTGTATAAATTTCACAAAAAAGACTTTTTCTCTTTGAAATGTTGTTACATTTATTATATATATTAAAAAGATTTATTTCTGCTAAACAGGATGCTATCGTCAGAATATTAATTTTTTAGTAAATTGAAATATAATAACAAATTGGGATGATTTTTGGTCTTCACTCCAATATTAAAAATCCTGATACACAAATTCTGATGACAGCATCATTACAAAAAAAAATCTTTGACGTATGTACACTTCGGAGAAAATTTAATTATTGAATAGTGTTATACATGTTTACCAATCATATATGTCGGAAAAATATCTAATCGGTTTATAGTTTTATTATTATTTTTATAATTACAGAATGGACCCAATTTATTATAAATAGGGAAGTGAGATAAAATTATGCGTAGTGATTAATTATGCGCATTCTGATTTGATACTTTCTCTATAGATGGAGATGCTACCGCGGGGAAACTTTTAGGCTAAAGGTATTTAGGATACAACCATAACTTATATAATTTAAAAAAGTGTAATTAACAGTCTTAGAACATACTGGAAGGGCTGTCGATGGCTAGGTGACTGTCGATGGCATCAACATCTATTATCTGTTCTTGTCTGAATGCTTACGTAAGCATAGCCTTACTTCGTAGATAATATTAAGCCAGTCTCTAAATTTATGTATTGAATTAATTTAAATTATATAAATATATAAAATATGTGTGTATTTTAAGTGTATAATTATAATCAACAACGACGACAATTTGATAGCTGGAAACATTTTTTTCCATCATTTTCAAATTTCAAATAACATTTTGATAATTATTCTACATTTTTTTCAAATTCGAATCACGCGCAAGCGCACAGGAAACAAAAATTCAGATAAGAACAGATATTGGAGACTTTTATTACATTGGTTACATACGGTATGACCTTCCAGTATGTATGTCTAAGTTAACAACCAAAGAGAGAAAAAGTAAATTTGTATACTTTAAGAATAATTTTGACATCTAGAAAATAAGACGGTAAGTCCTTATCCTTAATTTGTTTATTTAATCGTGCATATTATACTAAAATATGTTATTACGTGCGTCTTTTGAGCTATTATTTATTGAGTTAAATTAAAAAGTTTTTGCATAATCTTGTTTTTTATCGAGTCAGGCAAATGCATTTTGAAGTATACACAATTATTCGTCTTGAATATGCTGTATGACTAGCATTTTTTTTTTCGTTTTTTTCTTTGTATTATTTCAGATGCTTCGTAAATATATATTGAACTAAGACTCGGTTACAGTATTTATTCTCCAATTTCATTATTTTTTTAAATTTTGTATTAATTTTGTATTAATATATTGGTTTAATACATATATTTCCATACATTGGTTTAAAAAATATATTGTATTATTTTTTTCATTTTATCAATATTCCATAGAACATTAATTTTATTTATTTTTTATAATTTTTTTGCTTTGCGCACAATTATCAAATCTATACGCAGAATTACACGAAACTTTTTCGCTTTTAATTTTTTTACATTTTGTTAAATACAACATTATCAAATGAAAAATTGCCAATATGAAAACCGCGAATAATTGATAGAAGAATGTTCATATATAATTTATAATTCCATAGCATATAATTCTCCCCACTTTCTTCTAATTGTTCAATTTCAAATGTTTGATTTTGAAAACTGTAATTTAAATAAGAAATTATTTACATGTATTTTCAATTTGTTTTTCCTCCATTTAAAAAAAATATAAAACTTTACATTTATTTTTTATATCTCGAATAGTTATTCAACTCGTTGATTTTAGAATTATCGATTTTTTTTCTTTACAGGTGTTTTTGATCATTTTCTTTATATCTTGCGTAAGGAGAATACTTCTAAAGAATATTGAATTGCATTACTCGGTTTTCCTTTGTTGTATCCCAATAATGGGTAACAACAAAGTCGAAAGCCGACCGAAAGGCGGCGCGCTTCGTCTCGATGCAACGATATCGAAGCCACTTTGTAGTAACAATACCGTTTCCGCTCTTCTCTGTTTTACCTGCGGTGCTTGCTTTATCTTGAGTTTAATTTGCACCTGTCTGGCAATATTAGTCGTTTTGCTAGATCAGACTGTCGAGGCAACGAGCTACAGTCGACACGGTGAGGACACAAAAAATTCAACTATTATCAGTGCCAAAGTGGAGTAGTTTCTACGATAAAAAATTATTATGTTAATATGTCGTACTTATTACATCTCAGATCCACAAGTTTCTGAAAAAAAAAATTGTTCCATAAGAAAAAGACAAAACTATTCGCGAAATGCAAGTACATTTATAGTGCGTTTAACGAAAGTTTAATCAATGAATTACTTTGTCAACGCAATCGGCAAAATGACATAAGTTTCTGTCTCACAAGAGTCTCATGATTACTTGGCGGTAGATTTAAAAGTGCCTTTGTAGATAATGTTCTCCTACATGTGGAACAATAAAACATTTTTTTATATTTTAAAATTGATTGAAGTTTTTTTTTGGAAAATATACAAGTCACTATTAGCAAAGATAGATTTTTTGATACAAAAAATAATTATAATAAATTTTATCCTCAAATGATTTACCTGATTACAATATAGTTTCAAGAAAATATAAAACTTATGTTTATAAGAATAATAATAAAAAATATTAACAGACAGAAAAATTTATTAAAAAATTTTTATATTTTTAAAAAAGAATTACAATTTAAATTAATAGATTACGAATATAGATATTACTAGAAATTACTATAGATACAAACTGTTACTCTGTGAAGTTCTTCTGTTGAAAAAAATTTCATATTATCAGACTTATTATTTTGACAGATAATCTTCGAGATATCAAAAGTTGTATTTGAAAAGCATTTGAAGTTCAGTTATCGATTAGACATATAGACATATATACGTCCATGAACTATTTGAAGTAAAAGATAGGAAGGAAACTTATATGAGCTTATATTGCCAAAGCAATTAAAGAGCGCATATATTAGTAGTGCATATATATTACGTTTACTAATACAAAAGTAAAATAAATATATATAAATATGTTACATATTCAACGGGTTTTTGTTCTTTTTAGTATTTATTGATAATGTGAGATGATAATCAAGTTTTGATTGAATCTTCTATTTATAATTGCAGCCTAATACTCCGATTTCAATAGTCAAGTGTTTAAAATAATTAGAATTGTCAATCATGTTAAAGTACTTAATACATATATAAATAGATAAAAGATAAGCTTTTAAAAGATATAATGACTATAATAACCATGTGTTAACAGAATGTAAATGTATTTAAACCGACAAAAAGTGAATGTCCACTCTATGCTCCGATTTTGTGATCAGCTGATCGGGAAGAAACTCGTGCCCAAAAAATGCTTTGTGTTTTACAGCAATAATGTGTAACACCAATAATTTAAATTTAGCAAATATTTGATGTATATCGCAATATAACGCAAATATTACTTTACTATGCTTGCTACTGACCATCCAAAATAACACATTACTTTCCAAAAATATTTTATTCGGATCATTGCTCCGACTTGGTTATAGCTCTTCTTGAAACTTCTAGGTTGAATCAAACAGTAGCTAAATTTTGTTTTCAATCTACATTGCGGAATAATTACCGGCATTTTGTTCCCTTATTGGTTACATCAACATGTAAGATCAATCGAACATGATCGGTCAGATAAAGATTTTATGATTTATCTGCGTGAAACGTAATGATTATTTATAGATAATTAAAGACAACTATTACATATATTAATTCTGTTTGTAGATTCGAATAGACCAGAGGCATATACAATAATGTTTGATCCTGATGAAAGCTTCAGATTGCCAAAAGAAGTCGTACCTATTCATTATGACCTCTACTTGCATCCAAAACTTAAAGAAAGCACATTTTCCGGAAAGGTGACCATTCTCATTGATGTCAAGCAGGACAACAATAGGACATCTATAGCTCTTCATCAAAAAGATCTCAACATCACATCAGTAAAATTAATAACGTATGGACTAGATGAAGATTATGAAATTAATATTTCTTCCATCAGCAAGCCTACTAAATATGAAATTTTTATGATAACAACTGAAAACAATATTAAATCCGGATTATATAACTTGAGTCTGGAATTTGATGGAAGTCTCAAAGATAAAATAGTTGGATTTTATAACAGTAAATATCAGTATAAGAGTGATAAAATTAATGAAATCAGGTAATATAAATTTTTTATTTTAGTAAATAAAAAATACATAAACTTTGTAATAAATAATTTTTTATTCATTAATATAGTAAAATAGATTATAATGTATTGCGTACATTTTTTTAATAAATAGGTACATTGCAACTACCAAATTCGAGCCAACTTATGCTAGACAAGCTTTCCCGTGTTTCGATGAACCCAATTTTAAGGCAGAATTTTCGATAAAACTGGTTCATCCTATGAATGATTGCTATAGTGCCTTATCCAATATGGATGTAAAAGTACGCGAATAATTTTTGACAGTAATAATTATTATCTTTTTCGAAAAACTGAAATTATTAAACAGTGTATTAAGGAATATTATTATTTTTGCTTTAGAGTACGCAACTACATACACCGGAACGTGATCTAGCAACAGTGACTTTCACAAAAACTGTGCCCATGTCCACGTACCTAGCTTGTTTTATTATCAGTGACTTTGTTGGTACAAGTAGAATGGCGAATGGCTTAAATGATCGAAAATTTCCGCTCACTGTCTATACTACAAGACTACAGTCGAAGGAGAAAAGAGATTTTGCTTTGGATATTGGCGTGAAAGCTGTCGAATATTACATAAACTTATTCAAAATAGATTATCCATTACCAAAACTCGGTAAATATGCAAAAATAATTTATGAAAAAAGAATAATTGATTGAAATAAAGTTAAATTTGTTATACATGTTTAACGGTCTCAATAGATTTATTCTTAAATGTGTGTGTGTGTGTGTGTGTGGGTGTGTGTATATATGTATATATATATAACTTTATATAATATATTTATTTAGATTATTTATTTATTTATACAGATATGGCTATGATGACAGTAGTAACTCCATTTATGATAAGCGCGATGTCATTAACGTAATCTGTCACGAATTGGCACACATGTGGTTTGGAAATCTAGGTAAATATTTTATATCAATTAACCGTGAATTAATGAAAACGTAAGACATACTTTTTTGCAGTCACCATGAAATGGTGGAATGATTTATGGCTCAACGAAGGTTTTGCTACATTCATGGCATCTAAATGTTCAGATGCGATTCTACCACATCAAGGATATGTTAGTTTTTAAATAATAATTTAATTAAACATTGATAATATAATATAAATGTTTAAAATATGATATTACATATATCTATAATATTTAATATTGTTTTCAGATGGAGGAATTTCCTGTTGAAGTAATGCAGAAAGTTTTTGTTCCCGACTCAAAGTTGAGCTCTCATCCTATAATTTATAATGTCCAAAATGCAGATGATATTACATCATTTTTTGATGGAATATCTTATAAAAAAGTACGTGAATATAATATATTGTTTGATAATGATTTTTGCACTTGTTATTAATTTCGTATTGTCTTGTATTATCTTTGTATTGTCTTGCATTTATTTAGTCAAACTGTCTATTTTAGGGAGCATCTATAATCCGCATGATGGAAAACTTCTTTGGATCTGATGTCTTCTTCAGTGCAATTAGTATCTATTTGAATAAGTACGCTTATGAGAATGCAGAGACGGCGGATCTCTTCGAAGTTTTGCAAGATGCGGTTGGAAACAAATTAAATGTAACAGCTATAATGGATACTTGGACACGACAAGAAGGTTTTCCGGTTGTTAACGTGAAAAAGTCTGGAAACAATTATACATTAACTCAAAAACGATTTTTGGATGATCAAGATGCCAAATCCGATCCTTCAAAATCAAGTTATGGGTGAGTTGCTTTATTTCGAGATGTCAATTGACAAACTTATTTCGAAATTACATTACATCTTACAGATATCGATGGACCATACCTATTGTTTATATCACTAACAGAAACGAAGTACCTACTCTTGTATGGTTTGACAAGGATGCAAATGAAGGTTTGAATTTTAATTACATAATTTACAATCTTTTTTGCACGAATTATTACTCATTTTCTCTTAATGTAAATTCTATATTTCACAGTGGTAATCGAAGTCGACGAACGTACGAAGTGGTTTAAATTAAATGCTGGTCAAGTTGGCTTTTATCGAGTTAATTATAACGAGGAATGGGAAACACTCAATGAGTTACTTCGGTCTCACCATACGGTAAAGCAGCACGTAATTTTTTTATTTAATGCAGGAATTACAATAAATAAAAATTATGATTTATTTACAGATTAAAACATTATTCTTAATTTTTTCAAAGGTTTACTTATTATATTTTTCTCTATTTTTTTATTGCAGAGAATATCAATGTTGGATCGAGCGAATCTTTTGGATGATCTATTTAGTTTAGCTGAGGCCGGTGAGATCGAATACGATACTGTGTTGAATATAACTATGTATCTCACCGAGGAGTACCATTGTCTTCCATGGGCGGTTGCAAAGTCGAAACTGATGACGATATATACTCTGTTAACTTCCTCGGCTGATCCATTTATTTCAAGCACGTTTCAGGTAATGTCAATCGAAGTATTACAAATTATTGTTTGACACCGTTGCAAATATTATTTTTACATAATCCATTTTAGTCTTTCGTCTGGATATTGGTAGACACAATCTATAAGGATGTAACTTGGACCGTTGATGATGCAATTGAAGAAGATGTACCGCGTATTGATAATAAAGTGCGACCGATAGTAATCGAATTGGCCTGTGCAATGGCTTTACCTGCATGCTTAAAAAAAGCCTCAGAGCTTTTTAACGAATGGCTGATAGAAGAGAAGCCACAGCATCCTGATGTTCGCGAATTAGTTTATTACTATGGTTGGTCTATCTAATGTGATTCATTCCCTATATATTATTTGAGTGTCGAAATTTTAATGGAACGCAAAATCTTTTATTAGGTATGCGCTACTATTCGGATGCGATCGAATGGAGTGTCATGTTCGAAAGATTTAAAAATGAGACTGATCCTGGCGAGAAGAATAAAATAATGGCAGGATTAACAGGGACACAATCCATTCGTGTTTTAAAGGAGTTAGTACTAAATCTACTCTCGTTTTTAAAATATACTTTTTATTAAAGTTAGATAATATAATTTAACTCCTTTTTTAGATTTATTATCATAGCAACTGATGAAAGATTTGTCCGCGCTCAAGATTTTTTGAAATGCTTGATTATGATTTCCAAAAATCCCGATGGTACATCATTGGTGTGGGATTGGGTACGCGAGAACTGGGAATTCTTGGTAAACAGATATACGTTGAATGATCGATATCTCGGTGATCTTATACCATCCATTACAAGTTCATTTGCCACACAAACGAAGCTGGACGAGATAAAAGCTTTCTTTAAGAAATATCCTGAAGCCGGTGCTGGTGCGGACGGTCGAGCCAAAACTCTCGAGACAGTCTCGAAGAATATCAAATGGCTTGCTAAAAATACTAAAAAATTCGATAAATGGTTCTCAGAAAACTGGCCATTTAAGACTCGTTAAACATACCAGCAAAAAGTATACAAGATAGATGAAAAGGAAGAAAGACTTAATACATAGCGATTTTTAACAGTTATGCATAAAGACAACTTTTTTAATCTATGCGTCAACTGCTAAAAATCACTGATAGCCTGAAGATAATTAATAGTGGTTTTTGTATGTTAATAAGTTACTGTAAAGAAAAAGAAACTGTTACTAATAAGAACATTAAAATTTTCTTGCGCAAGAAAATTGTATTCAATACGCTGAAATTATATTGCGTATTAAATTTGTTCTGTCATGTAATCAATAATTGTGGCAACAGTTATTAGATGCGCTAAATATGAAAGTGCATAAATACCAAATACGCATTTGTGCGAGGCATATGCCTTTTATGTAACACATTTATAAATCTTGATACTGAAATATATACAACTTTATAATATAATTTTGCGATTAAATGCAGCACGTTTATATTGTTAACTAGTGATCTTTTCCCTAGTTGTGAATCTTTGATCGTCCTGTAAAGTCCATTCTACAATTGCGTAAGCATTTGTAAATGATTGTACTTGTATTCTTCTCATATTCAACTATAAATCAATTTTTACAATTATAAGTCAATTTTTACAATTATAATTACTTATAACTACGCAATTGTAGAATGAGCTTAGATATATGAAAATTCGTAAAGGTCAAATCTATTATGGTCAATCTATTATGAGCTCGATCGTATTACGTTTTATTTCTTTTATAAGTGGTTTAATATACACATTTGATTGACCCGTTATGATCAATAATATAACGTTGAAAGGAATGATAAAAACGTTTTAATTCATCGTAATACGGTACGCGAATATTCCTTGCGATACTATGCTTTATATTATATGCTCCAAATCCTTTATATTATATAATATATTTCTTTCTAAAAAAAATTTTTATCAATTTATAGGAGATAGTTTTTTTTAAATACAAATTTATTTAAAAATTTTATGCGTAGTCGAATGTGGTTGCGCTCGTTATTAATTTTTTTTAAATTGTTGCCGCGTTTGTTACGCCGAACGTCCTCTTTTAATTGTTATTTTTATTATTTAAATTAAAGTGTCTTTTAGTGTTGAATTTGACATCTTTATTTCATTTTCATTGTTATTTAATTTTTTTATATACTGAATAAAAATGATGCATCTCGTCATTTCAGTTTCTGATAGGAAATATCGCGTGCAGAATCTGTTAATGACAGTTCACGATATAATGGATATCTGGCGGCTGTGAAAACATTTTGCAAGATACGAGAGGGCTTGTCGAAAAACGCAATGTAGAATTGTATGATTTTCCATTCTATTTGCGCTATCGAGAATTATTTGTATTATTCGAATAGAGAGAAACACGATACGCAAATTCGAGACATAAAACAGATTTTAAACTGTCGCATACATTGATTTAACGTTACGTAAACAGAGAGGCTCTTTTACACCGATATGACATTTCGACAAATGCTCGCTCGTTAAGCAACTAATCAAATACTCGGTAGCTCTGCATCGCCAATGCAAATAATATGAGCGGTTTTAATCAAAGTAATATCGCGGAAAAATATTTTTTTTGTAACAGGCAACTTACGAAATTTTCTTTTATTACATATACTTATTTTATTATAAAGTTATAAATTTTTTTCTATGTTGTACTTCTATAATATTAATTTTATATATATTTATTGAACAAGCTTCTTTTGAGAAGATACATTTTATTTATCCGATATAAACATTTCACTTTCGCATTATTCTGAATAATGCATCATTTTCTTGTAATATTAAATCCGATGTAATTTATAAGTTAAGTGATATTGAATAATGTAATTTTGATGTGAAGCTTTAGCCTTTAAATACCAGTTATCTTATTTAAAAAATGTTAATCGGAATGTAAGTTGAATGTAAAAGGAGAGTAAATGGAGCTTTTAAAAGATGAAAATTGAGACAACAAAACATAAAAGAAACGTAACCGTCTCTTTCACACTTCGTTGTTTTAATTTTCGCCAGAAGCTTTCTTTACGTTTCTGTTACTCTCTTCTTACATTAACTTACACTCCGTTTTTTATTTCCGCCTGAGCGAATTCAATATAATTTAAATTTATATACCTTTGCTCGAAATTAATGTAATTGAACAATTTTTTTTCGTTTCAAAGGTCAAAGTTCAAAGAATAAGATTATGTAACTTAGAATTATGTAAGGTTATTAAAAAACATTTGCTATAAACAATTGTTCACAAAATGTTAAAAAAAATGTCAGAAAAATAACAAAATTTAAATCTAATTTTAATTGATAGCATTTTTTTAACATGAGAAGTTAACGCGAGTTGTTTAAATTCTAGCAAATAGCTATAATTTGAATGTACAATTTTTCCATTCGTATCGAACGTTAATAGAGATTACTATCATTTCCTCTCAATAAAAATATCGGTCATGCTCGATTGGCGCCTGTCTTGTATAAGAAAAGGATCTATCTTTTATTGGAACGAATGTCACAAATTCTCTAAATGATCACGTAAAGTTGTCTCCCTTTTCTTCATGATAGACCATTACTAACAGAATCTGGCGAGTTTGAGGAGGAATCAATTCTTTCCTTGCGGAAGTATTGGGAATATTCTTCAAGTTATAAACAATTAATGAACATAAAAAGCAAATAAAATAACAAACTTAAACTACAGAGATGCACAAAAGTTATGAAACTTTCTTGTAATTTATGTCTGTAACTTATAGTTTAAGAAGATTCTAAAGTGATAGAATTATCGAACATTACAAATTAGAAAGTATTTTAAATTAAAGAAAATTAAACTTAAGATCTCAAGATTAAATCAAAGAATGTGTGAAATATCAATTTGAGCCGAGCACTAGTTATATATGTGCGAACTTATTTTTTGTTTGCTTATTTTAATTGTGAAATTAAATGTAAAAGAATTTTATAATTTGTACAGTCAATTCAGAGCATTTTCTAACTATTTTAATAATTTTGTTATTTTAGGATCTCTTTAATAAATATTAACTTATTTCAACACAAAATTATTTTAATTAAAAATATTTACATAAACAGAATGAAAATATTTAATACTGAGATTAAAGAATTATTAATATGAAGATTAAAGAATCATTGAGTTTAATATGTCAATTATTGATTTGATAAATGGAGGATGTTTTGTATGCCTTTATCCAATGATTTGTTTATATAAACAGATACATATTTGATAGTTTTCGTATGGGTGCACATGTGTTGCTGGATTAACATTGGGCGTGTTGCGCAATAAATCGTTTGGGCGATTAAATGTTCCCGACGATTCACTGCGTGAGCAGCTTTTGATCGAATCTTTTTTATGCGATTAACAAAAATTAGTTCTCATACATTTATACAATAATATTTGGCTAAATTATTACAAGAGTAATATTAACAATAAAATAAATGTGTCTAAAAGTTATATTTATCAATTAAATTAATTGCTTTCCAATTAAAGTTCCAATTAAACTGTTAAAGTTTTAGTAACAGTGTTTTGAAATCTAAAAGTTTAAGAAAGGTTAAAGATTTATAATTTCAATTATAAAATAATCGTAAAACGTTACAAAATACGCATTGAGTTTTATTTACAAAAAAAATTGAAAAGAGAGAAGAAGAAAGAAAACGTATAATGGAAATTCATATCTTCGATAATTATGGAATTTCTTTTAAAATAGTTATTTAAATATTATTTATAAATCTATTTTTCTGCAAGATTTTTTACTCTTACATTAACACGAGGAAAATCCTTAATTTTTCGGACGTTTTACAAGAATTCTTAAATAATTTTATCTCGATTATTGTATATTAAAACAAATTTAAATCAAACTTGAATTTATTGTAACAGTTTATATAATTTCACAGCTTTTGTGCATTTATTTCTCATCTTCTTTCATTGACGTCGCAGCTACGTTTGCGATGCCCTTCGAATGCGTTTGTGCGTCACTTGTGGTTATGATCGAGTCTCCATGGGGGCTAGAAAGATTGTGGTAATTCATAGGAAAAATGACGACAAGATGAATATCATTCAAACAATTAATATCAATTGTATTAACTCTTTTCCGTGTTTCAATTCCAGAGCATTAAAAGAAACTTCACCAAGATTCTCCTCTCCCGTATCTCATTGTGCTCGTAGATTGAATAAAACTATTGTCCTAGTGTGCCTTTCAACAAGCGACACAGATAATATAGTATGACACAATGAATCATTACATCCTTGTTGTTTGCCAATGTTAAACAGATGAAATGATCACTGTATTGTACTGTGTTTAGTTAATCTCACCCTATTCAGTTTATAGTTTTACTATTTTCCTTGTTCCGAATATAAATCTTCTACAGATACTTCTCGCTTACACATACACTCTTAAGCCTAATCTATAATATGCTCTTTACTTCCTGTTGCTTTACTTTTTTTCTTATTTTTTTATTTATTTTTTTTGTCTCTTTCTTTTTTATTCTGTTTCTTCATTTTCTGGCGCCCGAGATAAAAGTCGATGAATTTCGGAAGAGACAAGAAACACATGTGACAAGAAATATGATTGTCGATAAAACAATCATAAAAAGAGTTAAAGGCGAGGTTCAAGTTGAGACGTATGAAATAAGATACAAGAAGTAAAGCGCACATGGTAGATTAGGTCATATTTCCGGTTCTCAAATATATTCACGATCCTCTGACCTCATTATTTAATAAACAAGTAAACATACAGAAGTCATTTTTAATTGAATTATCATCCCATGGATTTTATTCGACTTACTTTTGGTTTTTTTTCGTATTAAAAGTCAACGATATCGTTATCAATGTTCTTTCAAGTTATCTCGTAAACCGTCCACGAACACATTGTAATTCTTACCTTTTTTGTTCGACAAAAAAAGGACATATCAGCGAATATGTAATCCAATCAGATAACTTTATGATTCAATCAATGGTTCTCGAAGCTTGATCCGTAAAAAGGGACGAATCCATGTTTCTCTTGAGAAATCCAACGAGATCTTCTTCACAATGATACTAGTTATTATCTCAAAATGATATGACATTTCTTTATTATTTTGAAATATTACTCGAACTCTATGGAAATCATAGCTTTTTCTATTTTAAAATTGCGGGAAAAATATTAAGACTTTATGCTAAAAATATGAATATTATTAAGATTCAATCCCGAATAAAATACAATATTTCGTGCACAATACAAAATTAGGATAAGTAGAAGAGAGAAATTTTTTTTCTTTGCCGTTCCTTTTTTGAGTAATTTAAAAATTTTTTAATAGTAACGTTATAATGCACATCTTCTCTACATATATATAATAAAAAAATAATAATGTCTCGATATAAAGCTTTGCACCGCTATTGAAGGATGCAATTTGCTCAGAGTTATGCGCAAAAAATATTTCACAATCTATTCCATGGAATTTTGAT